AAGTCAAATTCAAAGTTCAATGCAACTAAAAGACCTTCAACAATTATTTGAATTAAATAATTTCAAAATTATTTCATCATCTTCAAACCAACTTGTTTGTGGTGGTATTATTTTAGACCAACCAATTGGAATATTTGTTGATGTTCTTGGTGGAAGTTATAATATTGGAGTTGGTTCATACAAATTAGCTATTGCTCAAGTTGTGAATGATTGTATTGGATATTTATTATCAAATACCTTCTAAATTGAGTTAACTCTTAGTATTTTGTATTTTTATTTTTTGATTGAGACTCAAATTTTTTATGGAATAAAAAATTAATTAAAAAATGAAAAATTTTATTGGTTAATGATAAGATAATAAAACTATAATATTTTAACAATAAAACTATAACTACTAATCTTGTTTGTCAAAAGAGACAACAAAAAAGAGGAAAACAGAAAATTCTCTTTAAGATCCAATCAAACTGGTAAAGAAAAATGTCTCTCAGTCAACAACGAATTATGAAGGTAAGTGTTATTGCAATTATTTTATTTGCTAGTGTTAATGGACTTTATATTTCAAAGTCAACTGTCTTTTCAGAGAAATCTGTCAAAATTATAACTTTTGGATTTGACGGACAAGGAAGGATGGAACTCAATGTATCTTCTTTGTCCCCAGCTCCAGATAGATTATCAACTATTAGTGTTGCTATATGTAAAACAAAAACTGCTAAAGAATATCTTGAAACATATGATGATGATACTTTATGTAGGGCATTAAAAGAACATTGTGAATATGGTTTGTTTATAATTTTTGTTTGTAAACATATTTAAATGAATCAACTGATGTTTTTAGTATCTCCATTTGAATTTTATATGACAATTAATGTAACTGAACATTCTCAATATGACATTTTCTTTTTATTTTGTGATATTCCAAATTATATTAAAATGAATTACAAAGCACACTTAATAAATAAAAAAGATATTGAATTATCATCTGAAGATTTCTACCGACCAGTCATTGTTCTTATACAATTACTATTTATTATTTCTAATGTCATTGCATTAATTGTTAATTCCATTCTTCATAGAAAATCTTTTTCACGGATTCAATTATTCATTTTTATAATATTCTTCTTTTATCTTTGTTCTTCTTTAATAAATAGTGGGTTTTGGATTACTTATTATAATGGATATGAAAAAGATATTACTCAAACAATTTCTCACTTTTTTACAGTATTAGTTGATGCAACAACTATGGCAGTTTTAATGTTGATAGGAAAAGGATATAAACTTATTTATCTTAAAGTACATTTCTATGAAATGAAGTTATTAATACTTGGATTTGTTATTTTTTGTATCTGTGGAATTTTAGAATGTTTTTGGGTTAAGTGGTTTGTTCTTGGAAATCTTATGGTAATTTTAGGACTTTTCCTTCCTGTTGCTGTTTTTAATGTTTCAACTTCAAACAGAATTATTAACAGTCATATATTAATTGCAATTTCCGTTGAATATATAAACGCATTCAAATTAAAGAAATTAGTTTGTTATGTTGAAATTTTTTGATATATAAATGAATATATAATTAATTTATTATTGTAGATGCTTAAATTTAACTTAGGAGTAATTTTCTTCTATATCATTGTATATACAGTGAATTTTATACTTACTCATTTTATTCCAAATGAATATATTTTAATAACAGATGCAGTTGAATGTTTCTTAAGATTAGTATTAATGTTATTATTATCAATATTATTAAAAACACGTGATTATGTGTTTAAGCCATTAGAAATTGATAAAAAAACATATCTAAATCGTATTAATATGTCGCTTAACACTGTCTTAACTGCTCGAAAATTATTAAAAGAATTTTCTTATATAACAAAACCATCTCCAGCTCTTTCTTCATTAACTTTAGTTGGAACTTTTTCATCTCCAATTAACTTAAGTTCATTTCCACAACAAATATATTTAAAATATTGTACTTGGAAGTCAATTGTATGATAGTAATTATTTACTTTTGTATTTCATTTCTTTGTTTAGAATAATTAAAATATTATACTCGGATCATATTTTTTTGAACTTAGTTTAATCATATGAAACTTTTTTATTGCTGTAAATAATAAAAAAAAACTTAACACTAACCAATAGAAAATATAAAGTATTAATTCTTTTCATTACTTATCAAAAAGAAATAATATACCTCATTCTTTACTAAACCTCCAAATTTTCAAAAAATATAGTATCTAAAATTATTTCAGTTGGATAATGATATTTCTTATATATTTTTTTCTACTAAGACATAACAAATTGTACATTCCTTTAATTTATATTATTCACTAATTTAACGTATCAACTAAAATGACTATATTGACTTTATAATAAATCATTCTCTGTTTGCTAATTAAAATATAGATGTGATAAAATAGTTAATAGAACCAAATAAATTATAGTAATATCTTTATATTAATAACTTTAAAAAATAAGAATAAAGCTATACGCAATATCCTAATTGATTATGAATTATAAAACATTTCTAATTTTTTAAATTGTTTAATTTATTTGAGACACAGGAACTTCTGTTAGAATAAAGTTTAATAAAAATAATATTTGTAACAATATATTCTCTAAATACATATTTAAATAATATCAAATTATATATTTACTTCATGATGAAAGTATATTTATTGAAAATGAAGAAACTTTATGTTATAATGTCATAGATTTGATGATAAATTTAAAAAGACACAACTCTTTCATCTTTATTTTCTACACTTGTTCTTTCAGTTTTTATTTTTAGTAAAAACAAAAAAACTATCTAACAATTTTTATTTCAAGGTCTTCTCCTTTCAAATGACAATCAATTACCGTTGTAAGAAATGTAGATCATTATTATTCACTGAAAATGACATACAACAACATGAACCAAATAACAATGAAGTTTCATTTGGGTACAGAAGGAGAGGAGGTGGTGGTGACTGCAATTCTGTCTTTTTAAAAGACAAATTAGTATGGATGGGTCTATGTGATCAAAACACTGGTAAAATTGAATGCCCTAAATGTCATTATGAAATTGGAACTTATACCTGGTCTGGGAATCAATGCTCATGTGGTAAATGGATAAGTCCAGCACTCCAAATTGCTATATCAAAAGTTGACAAAGAAAAGCCATTTACATTTCCTCAACATCATTAATAAATGATCAAATAAACAATAAATTAATTTTTTCTTAACTTGCTACTATGCTTCATATTTAAAATTAACTGTTGAACAGTAGAACTTTATTGCATCAACACATTTTACATAGATATCAACTTTAGTATCTTCAAATGGGATTTCTACTTTACCATAAATATAAGGTGTTTCGTCATGGCCAATTGAAATTCCAGTTGGTAATGTTCCATAAACCAGAAGATTATCACTCCAACAGTTCCATGGTAATTTATTTACACCAAGTTGTTCCATTGTAATATTTTGTTTCAATAAAATAGTCATCTCTGAGTGATTACCATTTAAATAACATTCAAACCCAGGTTGTGCTAATAACATTCCACCAATAATTAAAAAGAATAACACCATAAATGCTACTAATATTGTTAGTACAATTTCTAGTGTACATCCATACTTTTTTGGTGCCCACCGAGCAATCCCAATGACAAGCCCTACTACAATAATTCCACAACCACAAATTATTACTCCAACAACTCCCATCACCAATGAAACTGAAACACTAAGTAATGTCAAAAACAATAAACACCAGAGACAAGCAGTGTTATTTGTTGTCCAATATAACTTAACATTTTTGATATTTTTGTGTATTTCATTTCTAGTTCTCCAAAAAGATACCCAAAGACATGCTGAAGTAATGAATAATAATACCCATATCCCAGGTAATTTTGGGAGTGCAAAAATAGTCCATATAGAAATGGCTGTTGTTCCAACAGCTAATGGAGCAGTAAGAACAGCTGGTCCGACAGAGAAATGAAATTTATGAGATTGAGTAATAGGTTGTTGTTTTTCTTCAGTGTTTTCTATACATTTTTTTATTGAGTCAATGTACTCCAATGTAATTGTTACTTGTTGTTTAATTTCTGAAGTATCATTAATGTATAAATTAATTTCTTTTAATGACTCAATAATAATTGGAAGAATTCCAACAACATCAAGAGATGTTCCATTTGGAGCAAGCTCAGGACAAGTTTTGTTTACTTCTTGAGCAATAAATCCATACTTAACAGTATTGTCTTCTTTATAATTATATTGAACACCAACAAGTTTAAGTAATTTTTGAAGAGAATTAGTTAATGGCTCAATAGATGTTTTCAATTTACTATCAGACCTTTGAAGAAAACCATTTTCTGCAAGTATTTCTCCTGCAACATGTAACCGTTTTAAAGCATTTTGAAGGATTTCTATTTGAATAAATGGAATAGAGGGTAATGTATTGTACTCAGAGTTTTGATTAATATTCCAATCAAATTGTTGAACTAAAGGAGAAAATGAACTACTATTTTGTATATTTAAAGTTTGAGTAGTTAGTTGTTTATCTGTAACAATAAGTTCTTCGCTATCAAATAAACAATTATTTAAAGGTGTTTTAGTATCTAACAGAAGACAATTTGAATTGGTAAGAGGATTTGGACTATTAAAATCATAACTTTGACTTTTATTTAACTTCTGCATATAATTCTCACATAGTTTTCGAACTGCTTTTCTATCAGGTAATTTCTTATAAGATGGAGCTTTTTTAAATCCTATAGTTTGAAACGAAATAATATGTCGTAAATGTGCATCCCATACATGTGAATAACAATTATAATGAGTTTTTGGTGATGATTCAGTGCATCCAGGAAAGGTACAAATCCATTGTTTTCCTGATGGAATAGTGGTTTTCATTTAAAACAATGTTCAATTGAGTATTTGATTTTATTTTTATTAAAAAAAATGATTATTTTATAATAAAATTCTTATAATCAAAATAAAATAAAATATGAAATAATATTATTTCATTCTTTTTATTCCATCTCCACAACAGAAGTTACTAATTCATGTTTTGAATCAAAAAGCCTTGACAACAATCCCATTATAATCAAAACACCACCAATTATTGCACCAACTGATGCAAGGGAATGTGCAAATGAGTGGTCATTCATTTCATTGATTACAATATAAGGAGATAACTCATATTTGAAGAAAACTCCTGGTTGAGTAAATGAAGCACCATAAGTAACTGGAACATCTCTTTCATTAACAGATAGTTGATATGTTCGAAGAGTATAAGAAGGATATTTGAATAAAGTTGGAATAACATTAATATAATATGTTTTACGGGCATTATCAAATCCACTTAAAGTAAATTTTTTACCATTTAAGGGAGTTTCACCTGAATGAACTGTTGAACCAAGTGTATTAGAAAATGATAAATGATTAATATAATGAGTAGGATTAAAACTTTTCATTTCTTGAATTGTGAATTGATGAATGTGGCCTTGTGTATGTTTCTGTGTTGCAGTAATAAATTGATTTAATCTTCCTTGTCTAAATGAAATTTTACCAAATGCTACATGAAACTCTCCACTAACTCTACTTACTTTCATTGTTCCATACATTCTACAACCTCCTAATAATCTTTTATCAAATTTAATTCCATCTGTTACTCCTAATTGTAGACTTCCAGTAATTTCAGTAACATCCAATCCAAAATCATCACAGTTCATTTTAGGAAATGACATATCAATATTGATATACATATTTGGTAATACACCCGCTTTTACAGTATCAACATCAACATGAGATACCCATTGAGGGTTAAAAAAATTATAAGTTTCACTTAATATTAATAGCCCAATAATAACATACGAGATGATAGAAAATAATTTTGTGGTGTTAGTTTTTATTTTTAACTTTTCAGGAACCTTAAGAAAAATATCACATTCTTTAAGAAATTGTTGTATTTTTTTCATTTATCTTGTTCTTTTTTTTTTAAGTTCTTTTTGATTTTTGTTTTATAGAAAAACATTTTATTTTATAAATAAAAATAAACAACAAAAGAAAGGGATGTTATACTTAATTAATCCTTCTCTGATGCAAGAACAAGATAGTGCTCAATTTCTTGTTGTGAAAGTAAATGGAAAAGTTTATTATCTTTAGTTACAATTGCAATCTCAATATCAGTAGCTTTAAATTCTGATGATGTAACTGTTTGCAAACAATCCAATGCTTGACAAACAACTTGGTCAACAGTTAATTCTTTAGTAATCTTTTTCTTTTCTAAGTTATTAAATGCTTCTTGCTCTTTCTCTCCTGCTGCACATCCTCTAAAAGCAGCAACAGAACCTGCTGGATCACTTCTCCAAAGTTGAGGTCCTGAAACTTCATCCCATCCAATAAACATTGAAGATACACCAAAAGGTCTCATATATGCATGTTGTGTTAACATTTGAGCAAAGTCAGCAGTTTTCTTTGCTACTAATGACACAGGCATTTCATAGCCATAATCTAATTGGAACTTACTTGCATAATACTGTGACCTTTGAGCAATAACTTTACCATCCGCATATATTCCTGACATACAACAACCAACATGTTTTGAAATACGATGAAGATGAGTGACTGTTGATGGATCAACTAATCTATCCTTTGTTGTGTTAATTTCTTTGTAAATTTTCAAAATGCTAAAATAACTAATGACAAACTGGTAATTTCTTTTGTGTTATAATACATGCAGCTTCATCACTACATACACCAACTGTTGTTAAACTTTCACATTTAGTTGCTTTTAAGGCATATTCTACTTAATGAATATTGTTAAGATATTTAATGAAATAAATAACAAACCAACTTGATACAATCTTCCTTCAGGTGAGAAGATTGTAAGTTGACGATCATATCCTGTTCCAGCCATTAATTAATTGAATGGTTTTAATAGATGAAAAGCCAAAAAAAAAATTAATAACAACTAAATAAAAAACTATATTTTTATTGAAGTTTTGAATTTTTTCTTAAATTTTTTATGATTTTGTTTTTAAATGAAATAAAAAAAAAAACAAAAAGAAAAAACAAATATTTAAAAAGAGAAGTTGGGGGTGAATGGAGGAAGAACCTCAATATAGTGTTATATCAGAATTTCCTAAAATCAATACACAATGTAAAACCCCTGGAAAATCATTATACTTTCATGTCACTAATAAAATTTCATTTATTCGATGGGTAGGTTCATTAAAACTTATTACTTGTGTTGAAAAACCTAATGGAAATGAAATCGAACATATATTATTTTACCATCAACTAAGCCCAGCAAAATTAATTTCAATATTTGATTTTTCTACTTCAATTAGAGACCTCATTGTGTTAAATTGTACTAATAAAAACAAAGAAGATGAAAAATATCAATTAGCGTTCATCACTACACGTTCTCTTCACCTTTTTTATCCTGTTCCAATTTCAAAAGTTATCCACCCTTCTTCTAATTCAATAGAACTACCTGATTCACCAACGTGTTTAACAGCACATCCAACTTACCCATTACTTTTAGTTGGTTGTATTGATGGTAGAATATTAATAATTAATCATTCACTTCAAATAGTTTCAGTATTAAAAACACATAACGCTCCATTAATTAAAGTAATATGCTCAAAAGATGTTCCACACTCATTTATTTGTTGTGCTCGTGGTCCTTCGATAGTAAAAATGTATTCATTCTTGACAAATCAATTATTAAATTCATTAGCTCTTCATATTTTTATGACTGACATTTGTTGGAATGGTAACTGTGAATCATCTATGATAGTTTCTGATTCTTTTGGATATATAAGTGTTGTCGGTAGGCGTACAACACAACCAAAACCAAAGAAACAAGCAACTTTTCAACGTGCAAAATTACATCGTTCAGGTTGTAATGCAGTTGATGGTAGGGATGATTTAGTATTTTCTGGTGGAGATGACGGTACTGCAGTAATGTTTGATAAGACCCAATTTCATTTAAAAAGAAAAAAAGATGGAATTAAACCCACGCATGTTCTTGTTAAAGTAGTTCAAAAAACTGATGGAAGTACTGAGATTCTTGAAGACCTTGACTTAGAACAAAATATGGAAAACTATGTGTTAACAGATGACACTACTAGGGTTATTGATGTTAAATTAAATCCTGAATATTTCATAATTGCCATTGCTGTAAGGAAAGGTGTAGTAGTTTTAAAACGATATAAATCAATGTGAAATACAACTAATTATTGTTATATATATCGGAAATAATTATTTTTAAAAAAAAAGAAAAAAGTTTTTTAAAATAAAAAGATAATTGTTTGAATAATTCAAGTTGAATGAGTGGCTCAAAAAGAACAGAAAATATTCTTAAAGAATTAGTTGAGAGTGAGGCAAGGTATATTTCTCAAATGGAATTAGGATTATTTAAATATAAAGAGCCAATAGAAAAAGATGACAAACACATAATTGGCAGTGAAGATCTAAGAAAAATGTTTATGTATTATCAAGACATAATTGAATTTAATAAACAACTATTAAGAGAATTCAAAGATTATTTAGAAAAAGGAGAGTTAATAAAATATGTTGGGACTGTTTTTATTGCTAATGAAAATCATTTCAATGTATATATAAAGTATTTTAAAGCATCAACTAAAAGACAAGAGGTATATGGTAGAATTGTTAATAACTTACAACAAAATTTTTATCTTCGTTCTATTCAAGAAACCGAATACAAGAAAGGTATTCAGTTACAAAGTCTTGATTCGTATTTAATTCTCCCTGTTCAAAGACTCCCAAGATACCAAATGCTTTTAATTCAGTTAATTCAATCAATTCAAATGAATTCTTCACCATTACAATTAATAACATTAATTAATCATCAAGTAAGAGAAAATGATAATACAGAACAATTAACAGAAAGTTCAAAAAGAAAAACATCAAAACTCTTTAATAAAAGAAGAGTATCAATTTGTGTTGCACCAAAATTCTCTATTCCATCAAGGGCATCTCCTGCATCTTTGTCATGTCAAAAGTTATCAAGAAATATTTCAAGTCAACAACTTTCATCCTTTTCAATCATTCAACCAAACCAAAAAGAAGACAACTCTTCAATTAACCAAAAAGAAGAAAGTTTAATTGAAGAATTAACACCAATAAAAGTGAATAATATTAAAATGGATCAGTCATGTCAAGTTGGTTTATTTCCTCAAATTGAAAAACCGTTGTTGGGTAGAGAGTCTTCAGCACCAAGTTTAATTAATAGAACAAGAAGCAATGTTTGTGTAGAATTGTTGCAAAATGAAAGAGAAATAATACTCCAAGAATGTCATGAAGCGATTCAAATAATAACAACAAAAACAAATGAATGTAATAGAGCTGTAGTTGATGAGGAACAAAAAATTCATGATAAAAATTATCGTAATGAAATGACCCTCAAATACCAAACTGAATTTAATTTACCTGAAAAACAGTTTGTAGCTTTTGAAAAGGTAAAATGGTGGTTGGATGATAAAGCATTAGATGGAAATTTTGTATTATTAACAGATTCTTGTTTTATTGAAAGTGTTACTCAAACTAGAATTATATTATACTTAGAAGAACTTCAAATTAATGTGATTAAAGGAGGAGGTCAATTAGAATTACTTTACAATGACATTGATGTTATCATTGGATTTACTGATGAGACAAAATGGAAGAAGTTAATTCTTGATCAAAAAATAAAACACTTAGAACATAAGGAAGAGAGAGTTGGGTTTTTTGGCACAGTAATGAAACTTACTGGGTTGTTGTTTGAATAATTAAACTGTTTCTTTTAATTTAAGGAAATCTGTTAATAATAAAGAAGTTAAAGTTTTTGCTACATAATAAATTTATTATATTCAAAAGCTAGTTTTATTAAGTTTACCACAGAAAAATTTGATGAGGCAATAATATAACTTTCTCTTTGCTTTACTAAATATTAAATAACTCACTAAAGTCACAAAATAATTTACAATTCCTTCTTCACTAACAATAATTATATTGGTTTAAAAACATTTTTGAATGTAAAAAGGTAATAAAAAGTGAGATAAAAAAAGAGTATAAGAATTGAAAATTTTAAACAAGAAAAGCAAATAAATTCCTATAGTGTTGACGAAAAAAACAGAAATAAAAACTTTAAATAAATAGCTGTCACACACTCTTTAAGATTTAAATAACTTATCTAAGTTGTTGTGAAAAAGAAATTCACTCAAAACAGTTATTAGTCAAACAGAATTATATGAGGATAATAAAGAGAATAGAATGACAAATGAAGAAGAAGATATTTATCGAATTGTTAAAGAAATGATTAAGGGGACATGCCTTGAGAAGTATCTTACACCAGAAATAATAAAAGACTGTAAACATTATGAAAAAGAAGAAGTTGTGAAATTATTACAAACAATGGGATTAGAAGAAATAATTCAAAAGAATCAATATTATTTTGAATAAAAAAAACAAAAAGAAATAAATATTTCTAATCAATTGAATTAAGATTTAGATGTTTAATCCTTTTTCTTTTCTTTTGCAAGAGAAGCAAGTGAAACTTTTGGAATAGAGAATCCACAAGCAATCATTGAAAGAATATATCCAATAGCAGGATAAGCAACAAACAAAATGAAATTATGCCCAGTGACATTAATAGAATTTAATATGTAAACTCTATTTTTGCTTAAAGAAACAGTGACAAACATACAAACAATCATCATAGAAAAACCAATTCCATTTGCAGCTACATAATAATTGATTCCATGTTTTTGTTTACTAAAGAAATTATTACAAAGTGGTACTGCAAAATAACTACCAATAATATAAATAATCCACATAAATGGAATAAATTTCATTGAAATGAAGAATGAAAGAGAGAATTTTTGGATTATAATATAAAAAGTAAGTCCAAAAAGAGCTGGAACCATTGAAATTGTTGAGAAATATTCGTCTTTAATAAATGGACCAATCCATTTAGCATAATGAGTATATCCCATTATAACAATTGGGAATACTAAGAATGGAAGTAAAGTAATGTCCATAAATGCAATAGAAATAATACCACAAATAATGAAAGTTATAACTGAAACAAAATATTCTTGAATATATGAACGTGGGAATGTATCAATAAATACTGAAGCAATAGCAAATCCAGCAAAAATAATAGAAGCACCTATACAATAATCAACGACTTCAACTTTTTCTATTTGGATTTCATGAGGAAGAGTTTTTAAAATTTCTGAAATTAATAATGCACTTTCAATACTAACATAATTATTGTCAAGAGAATATAATGGTCCATAAACACTATTACATTTCATAATATATTGCATAGTACTCTTTTGAATTGGCATATCAAGTTTTTTCATAATGAGATATGCATATTCAGTACCAACACATGATGAATTTCCTTGTCTTAATGAATCATCAAATGTTCCATCAAGAAGTTGAAGTTTATTTAAAAATTCTTTTAATTTATTAATTGCATTATTAACTGCTTCTTTATATTGTTTAACATTTTTAGCATCTTCAAGAAGGCTTGCAGCAAAATAAAGAATTTCTATATCACTATATCTTTCTTTACTATCAAAAATAATTCCAGTTTCATTATTTTGCATAGTCAATACAAATTTAATTGTATTTAAATATTGTTCAGTTTGCTTATATTTTTCAAATTCATTATTAGCTTTTAAAATTTCATGTGCATAATAAGTAGCTAAAATACTTTGTGGTTTTTGCTTTTCAATAATCTCTTTTTCTTCATCATTAGAACTATCATCTTGTCCAAATTCATCAACTTCAGGTTCTAATTCTTCAATAATCTTTTCAAGGTCTTCTATAAATCCATATCCATCATATAATTTCATAACATCTTCTTTTGATACATTTTTTCCAAGTTGACTAAGATAATACATATTTTGAATACCATTCTTAGCAATATCAGCATCATAATCTTCTTCTTTTACACTTTCACTAGTTTCCATATGAAGGTTCTTTTTAATAGAATTAACATAATATTTTTCTTGAAGTCCTTCTGTGTTTCTTTCAAATAATGAAAGGTATTGACTAATATTTGCAACAGGATTGTTTGTATTTGAAATAATTGGGACTAATACAATTGAAATGGCTGCTAATACAAAAAAGATAATACTATACATTATATGTGTTGTACTTGGTGTTACAAATGAAAATTGAACACCTTTTTTGTTAATTCTCTTAGTCTTAACGTCTTGAACTTTTTGGTCTGTTCCTTCTACCTTTGGCATTAACTGAGAATTTCTAAGTTCTTCATCTTTCATAATTTTAAGATGTGTCTCATGAAAAATAAATAAATGTTTTTTAATTAATTTATCATTTCTTCTAATTTTTGCTTTTTTTTTAATAATGCGGTGAGTAATTTTTTTGTCATTTCTTCAGATTCATAAAAATTGATTACACTAATGAGACTGGTGTTAAAAGAGAGGATGACTCAATAAATAAATCATAATAAGGTTTAAAAAAAAAAAAAAACAAAAATAAAATAACAAAAAATAACAAAGAAAAAAGTAACAATCTAAACGTCAAGTTGAGTAGAAAGAAAAAGATGAAGAACTAATAAACGTTAAAAGGAATAAAAAGAAATGGATAGATTAGGAGATGTTATGGGTAAAGCAGTTAGTGTAGTTAATGCAGTATCAGGAAGTGATACTGAAGAAACAGAATATGCAAATTCACATATAAAAGAAATAGAAGAAATGGAATCATATATAAAGAAACATCGAAGTATTGCAAATAAGATATTAGATGCATTTAGTGTTCTTATAGAACAAATAGGGAATATGGCAGAATTACATAGAACTCGATTATCATTATTACAACCATTACAAAAAGAAGACCAAGCACTTTCAGTTAATTATTTACTTTTTATTCAAGGAAATATGCAAGTTATAAGAGATGAATTAACAAAAGGATATGGAAAACAAATAGGATTTATTTCAAGTGAAATTGCAGAAGTTAAAACATTGTTTAATAAAAATACAAGAAAACCTGTTGATAGTGTTGAAACAATGACAACTATGTTATATCAATTAAAAAGGTTATTTGAAATTAGAAATAAAATAATGCAAAGACATCAATACCTTGCATTTCATTTATTAAATTGTAATTTAAATTCATTTAATGTTAATAATGGAAATATTTATACTGCTATGAATCAATTAAGTGATCTTGATAATGATTCAGAACAAATTCATTTACGTTCAGTGTCTTATGTTGGAAGAACCCTTGGAGAAATTTTAGATGCTGAAAGAAGAAAACATTCTGAATTACCAAGAGTAATAGAAGATATTATTAATCTCTTAGAAAATCAATATTATGAAAAAGAAGGTATTTTCAGAACAGCTGCTTCACAAAAACAAGTTAATGAATTGTTTCATCGATTAAGTGTATCAGATATTTCTTCTTTTCCTTGGGAAACACTTGCAAGTACTTTAAAACGATTTGTTAGAGAATTACCTGGAATGTTATTTTGTAATTCATTAGCAAAAGATGTTTTATCTAAATATCAAGAATCAGAAATAAGAGAAACAAGAATTCATAATTTAACATCATTATTCTATGCACAGAAATGGGTGCCTGAAGAGAAAATTGTTTTATTTAAAGCAATTGTTAAATTATGTCATAAAATAATGGTTCATTCATCAAAAAATTTAATGAATGAAAAGAATTTATCTGTTTGTTGGACACCAACTATGTTTTCTGTTAATAATGATGAATTATCAAAATATCTTGAGATGATGTCTTTTATTATTACTGAAGCAGATTTTATTTTTGATGACACTAAAAAATCTATGGGATTGATTGGTAATACTGAGGTTCGTGGTAAACAATTAGGCTCTACTAAAATTGACCATTCAAGTATTTTAGAATCAGACCATGTTCAACCAAAAATGATTCCTAAAGTTCCATTAGTTTCTTTAATTGACTCAACCCCAGATTATTCTAATTCCCCAAGCCAATCAAAATTTATTATGGGTACAAGTCCTTCTCAAGGTGGTATGTCTCAACAAACAAAATTCACTCTTGGAAATTATCCTCCTAAAGATACACAAAGTCCTCGCACTCATCAACGAGACCCAACAACTCGTTATCCTATGGTTACTCAACAAAGACCAACAACAATGGCTGTTCCATCAACTCCATTACCTAAAGTTCCACCAAGACAAAAGTTTTTACAACAACGACAAGAAACACATAACAATTCAACTTTTTTGTTGGATGATGATTAATTGCATAATAAACAAAAAAAAAACAATAATAACTTTTTTAATTTACTTTGTTAACACAATTTTTAGTATTTTTAGTGTATGTTTAATGTTTTATAAAAAAAGGATCTTTCATTGCTTCTCTTGCTGATATTCTTTTTCCAGGATTATATTCAAACATTTTCATCAATAAATTATATCCATCTCCACCAATTGTTTTTAATTTCGTTAGAATTTCAACACGATTCTTTGGAAAATAATCAAATACCTTTTTATCTGTGAAATAATCTAAATCAGGATAATCTGATGGTTTTGGAGTTCCTAGAATATCAAAAATCTTATGCAATTGATCAATATCACTATCTCCTCTAAATATTGGTTCATGAAGAATCATTTCAGCAATCACAGCTCCCATCCCCCATATGTCGATTCCTGAGCCATAAACGTTATATTTCTGAATCAATTCTGGTGGTCTATACCACATGGTTACTACTTCCACTGTATATCTCTTTATTGGAATGCTAATAGATCGTGCTAATCCAAAGTCTGCTAATTTAACTACATCTCCACTTAATAAAACATTTGATGGTTTAATATCTCGATGAAGAATTCTATGCGAATGCATAAATGCTAATGCATCTAACATCTGATATGAAGCATGTCTAATAAAGTCAATAGAAAGGTCTTGAGGATTATTTTTAAGAAATTTATGAAGGTCAGTATTACAATATTCAAATATAAGATATAAATGTTTCTCTGAATTATAAACATCTAATAATCTACAACAATAATTAGCTAAACTCATTTTTCTTTTTTTTTTATATATAAATTTAATAACAAACTTAACAATATTAGGATGTGAAATATCTCTTAAGATTGCTATTTCTCTTAGTGCTGTCGAAGGGATTCCTTCTTCTTCTTGGTCAGCTTTAACTTTCTTGAGAGCAACAAAGGTATTTGACAAAATATCAACAGCTTTACAAACTTCACCATAAGTACCTTCTCCGAGTTTAGTGTCTTTTCTGTATCTATTGTTAACAAGGCTTTCATTAGAATGAGGAAGAAAACCATTTTTTCTGTCATTTCGGTGTATTTCAATCATTCAAATTAATGCAAACTAAAATAATAAGTTCTAAAAGTAGAAACTTTCATCCATTATTAGTTTTGTTATTATAAAATTGAGAAAGTCATTTCATTTTAGTAGAAAAGCGAAAATTGAAAGAAAGTGGAAGTAAATTGTAATTAAAAATACAATGTTCATTTCAATGTTACTATCTTAAAACAATCTACGTGAAGTGTACAATAAGTAGATACCATAGTTTCATTATTTATTAATTGAAGATAAACGTTCCATGTTGATGGATTAAAAGCAGTTCCAATAGTTGGTTGAACAAGAAGATCAATAATAGAATAATTTGCATAATACTGGTTTACTTGAATTGTTTCTAGTACATCAAATGACGTAATTCTATTAATTAATGCAATAACTTCATAGTTTGTAGCAATGAAAATAATGTCTTCATATCCACAAGTTAAACAACCAATTTTTAATGGTTTATTTGTTTTTAGATGATTCAATTCAAAGATGTTATACATTTCACCATACCTGTCATGGCATGTTATTACATTTCCTGATATTCCATATACTTGACCTTGTGCTGAACAACAGAAGAGTTTGCTTGAAGTTGGTACAATGTATATAGGTGATCCATCATGAAGAGAATATGACGCTATTGTTGATGAGCAACTACAAACCATATAACCAAATGAAGTACAAGCAGAGAAGTGTTTAATTTTTTCACCTATACAAATAGTAAATGCCAAATTTACTTTTAATTCGTTATTCCTATCATCTAAAAAGATTCGGTATATTATAATACTTCCTGCTTTAGTTATAATAAACATTTCTAAATCTGTAATATATTCTGTTTCCATTAAATAACAACTAGAAATTATACTTTCTATTTTAATAGTATTAATATGATCTTTCCAAGTTAAAGTAATAACATCGGCATTAAGTTGATATGAAGCAATCACTCGATTTTTAAATTTATCACAACAAATTATTCGTTTACATTCACTTTTATTATTAACAACTTTTGTTCTAATATCTTTTCCTTCTCCTGTTATAATATCATTAGTCTCTGTTTGTATAATAAGATTTCTTTGAATATTCATCCCAATAACAGAAGATGTTAAGTATTGATTTTCTTTGATAACACTAATTTTTGTTTCTTTGCTTTTCTTGTTATAAGAAAAATCAATACACTTTTTTCTTTTAAGAATAATATTAGTTATTGGAGTAAGACTCTTCTTACCAAAGTTTATATTTAACCATTCTCCAAGTTTTTTTTGTATATCAAGTGACTCTAATTCTTTTCTTTTTTTATAAACAACTTCTAATGCACTTGAACCAAACTTTGGGCTTTGGGCTAACTGAATACTTCTCAGATTAGAACTCTTTGTAAGCGTTGGTTTATTACCATAACAAATACCGTCTTCAGACCCTCCCATTCCTGAATATATTTTTTGTGATGCGTAAACTTGTGGGACACAATTACATGTAATTAGTCGAATATCCCTTACTGTTGTTGGTGGTTGTTCAACTCTTAATTGAAACAATGGTAATATCCTAGTAAATGGCATATGAGTATACAATAAACAACAAGTATTTGCTGAATGTTCTATTAAACTTTCATTTGCATTTGATGTTATTTTACTATCTTCAACTGATGGAAAGACATAATACATATCCACAGATTCTAAACTTCTTGTTGAATAACAATTTAATACAGATATATATTCATATGTAGATAATAATCCATCAACCCATAGTTTGAGATAAAACCCATTAACTTTATTTGGAGTAATTATAGTAACGTTTGACTTGAATTTTTCAAGGAATAAACTAAGTTTTTGCATAGCAATACTGTATGTTCTTTCATTTTCAAATGATATAAAATACGGGCATCCTCTTCGTTGAATTAATTCTATAGCACACAACGCTCCATTATTTACTCGTGGAAATATTTCTCTTATATCATCTACTTGAATGACATGGTATGTATTTAACTGCCATAACTTAATTTCTTTTAATTCATTGTTGAACGTCATTTTACAACAACTACTATTTGATGTTTTTTTAATAACACAATCAATAGCATCAACTCCTTGATAAGGAATATTACCAAATTGTGATTTATCAGGGATATAAAGGTTTTCATATGAAAGTAATTTTATTGGAGGTTCTGTAACTCTTTTAGTTAAGAATATTGGATTTGTTGGATATAAAAACTTAGTAATAAATCCAATAAATACTGTTGATGAAAGTTGAAAGAATGGATTACATAAGGCAGCTGATCTCATTGTTTTTCTATAACATTTAGAAATTTCATTTTGTTTGATTTTATCTATTGTAGTTATGTCATTATAATGTCCTTCAATTGGCAATGAAGAAGTTGAACAATTAACAAGAGGTATGGACATTGGTTCAGTTACAATTAATTTATGATTTTCTTTATATTTTAGAATAATAGAATTAATGAATTGTTTTAATGATGAATTAGTAACTGAATTAGATGGACTTTTTGATTGTTCTATTAACCTTTGATATTCAACAGAAGTTGTTACAGATGAAAAGTTGTTTAATGAAATTTGAAGTAGTTTAGGATTGAGTTTTGTTGCTTGAATAATCAACTCACAAAAACTTAGAGGGATATAGGAAGGGTACAACTGAAGAATCATAGATAATGTAAATTCATCAAGACACTGTATGAAAATATAACTTTGAAGATAAAAAAGTGATTCATATTCCTTTTTGGAACGAAGTGTATTCATTGTAACAAAGTAATTATAAGGAATTGCCTTAATGTATTCATTCATTAACACAATTGGAATTTCTTTTTGGTAGTTAACAAATGACATAAATGCAATTAATTCTATATAACAAACGGCTGAGACGTCATTAATTTTATTAATGATACTATTTAAGAATGAATAAGATATTATGTAAAGATCATTCAAATTTATTACTTGAGAAATAAAGAAAGAAATGACAAGATGAAGAGTATCATAACCTCGAGCGATAATGACATTAGTTAAAAATTTCATCAATTTACAAGTACTATTATACTTTATGTTGTTGGTATCTATAGAAGTAAATCCACTAAATTGACTCTTAATTAGTTTAAGTAATTCAATAACCAAATTTGATGGTATAGAATGCAAGACTTCTGATGAAAATAAAATAAGGTCATCAATGATTTTATTTTCAATACAATGAGTTGTGGTTAATAAAGTAAACAAAATATACAAGAAATATGGATTTTGAATAGTCTCTATTTGAGCTGAACTAAATGAATTAAATGGAACAGTTACTAATGTTGAGACACATTGCATTAATGAAGAATAGACTTCATAATCAAATGTATATTTTTTTAAGACATTGCAAATTTGGTTTAGTTGGTCTGATGTAGGCTGAAGTAAAGAAAGCATTTTACAAACCAATAAAGAAGTTGTCTTAGAAGTTTGTGCTAATGTTATAAAAACATCAATATATTCATTTAAAGTGGAAGATAAATTGCCATATCTCTTTAACAAATAAAATATTATTCCTACACTATTTTCTATTGCACTAACGGATAAATGAGGATTTTGAAGCATACAGAAAACAGTTCCAAGAGCTGTTGGAGTTAAATAACTTGAAAGATGAGTTAGATATTTCCATTTCCAATTCTCATTAGAAGAACATATTTTATCAGTTAAAATAGATAATATAATTTCAGGTGTTAATGCTCTTTTTACTAAGCCTTTATCAATAGAAGAACATCTTAAAATGATTTGTTTTATATAATATTCAAATAGATATTCAATTCCTCTCCATAACCTGATATCTAATAATAATGGAATTAATGTTATAGCAGAATTTCCTCTTGATATCAAAGATAAACACAAACTAATAAAGTCATCTATGATAGACGTTGAAACTAAATAATTTTGAGCAATTTTTGTTGTTTCAACAATTAAAGTGATTGCAACTTGTTTATCAATTACTTTACAATGTAAAAATAATTGAAGAATTTTACCAATATTTGTGGTAACTTTAGTATTAGAACCACTCCTTAGAAGTGGTAAAAAAACTGATATTCCTCCATATGTTGAAAACACATCACTTAAAGATCGTGTTACAACAACAAGAATATTAGTTGGAGTACAAATTGTATACTCTATTATTTTAATTTCTTTAGAAACAACTCTATTCTTCATAGACTTTAATGGTTTAATAAAAGAATGACTAGGTACTGACGCATAATGCTTTGGTGATAGTAATAAACTAGGTACACCATTAGGAGTGAGTTGATTGAAATACCATGCTAATGAACTAATATCTCCATTAAAATAAGAGTATGTCTTAGAGTCCAAACCTCCAATAGAAATAATTGCTTGTTTTTGTTTAGAAGAAAAATAAGGAACACCAAAATTACTTGATGACTCACCATTAAGAATAACTTTCATAGAATTAGAGTCATGTGAATGAACTAACGAAATTTCATTCCATTTATCTGGAAGTACTTTTAATTCTGTTTTATATGTATTTCTGATATGTGTGATTGATGGGGTAACAGATGATACATCAGAAGAAGTTACAACATTAATTTCTAATTCTAAAAAATGTGTTGTTCCATCTATTGAGAGAGAAAAATAATAATTATTAGCATTGAAAGAAAAAAGACAAGGAGTGGCTAAAGGATGAATGTCATGAAATCTAATTTGAGTATAAATAGTATAACATTCTTGTGGGATTGAATCAATTTTGATTACAGTAGAAATAAAAGAAGCAACCCCATTCAATGAATAATATACTTCTGAAGAATTATTATTTTTTGTAATAAGACAATCTAATAATGAAGAAGAATGAATTGGTGGAATTTCATTGTAAAAATTAATTAAATCTTGAATAACTTGTTGAGAAGTATGATATTTAATAATTGAAGTAAGTATATCAACACCAGATACAAATAATGGATTAGCCGCAAGTCCTTCAGTATCTAATGGTTTGATTTGTCTTAAAGTAATGATTAAATTTCTTATTGCTAAATAATCAAATTTCATCATATTATTAAGAGTTAATAAATGTTTTAAAGTAGAAAAAAATGTAACAGAAATATATTTTAATGTAAATAATGAAGCAATGTCATCCCTTAGTGAATAAATAATAGAGTCTAAGGCAATATTTTCGTCATACGGAATACCAGTCAATATCGGAATATATTGTTTTAAAATTGATTTATCTTCCATTGAAGAGGATGCGTACTGATATTTAAGATCAAAAAGAAGCCAAACGAACAAAAAGAGACTAGTTTTATTATTTTTGTTAAAAATCCGTTTATAAGTGGATTGAATTAAAGGAAAACTTTTTTGTGAAAAAAAAAAACAAAAATGAATAAATCTGATATATAAAACAATTACAATTATATTTTTATTTCATAGTTACAAAATGATGTATATTTATGTTGTTAGTAATTATTATATCTTTCATGTGATACAAAATATCCAAAATCACGAACCATTGTTGTTAATCTTCGTGGATCATTTGGTGGAGGTCTTAATGATAATCGTGGTGATTGAGAAGTACTTGGTGATTGGAGTGAAGAGGCAGAACGAGCTCGAGAAGGGTCTTCAGAATCTGAATTAGAAGACCCCCAAGAAATAAGTGATTCATCTTCTGCCATATTGTGCCATGAGAATGTTGTTCTGCCAATAACCTTTAAAGGTTTAAAATGAAAAGGATTAATATGAAGTATGTTCATAACATATCCACATTTTAGAGAACGGATAAATGCTGTAAAATAATTATGAGGAACAGAAAAAAACCTGTCTCTAGACTGAAGATAATTTAAAGTGTATTGACCTCCATATACCTTTCTAACAACATCTTCTAAAGGAACATCTTGTGGAACTAATGGTAATGGTAAAGTTAAAAGTTCTTGCTTTGTTTTTGATTTAATAAAAGGATGGGTTAATGCTTCTGATGGTGTTAATCTTTTAGCTGGATCATACTCTAATGTTTTCTTTAAAAAATCATGTAATAATGCCCTCCAAACTTGATCATTATCATGAACAAAAGCATTTCGATGCATAGGAACATGTTGACAAATTTGTTCAAGAGTTTTATATCTGAAATACTTTCTATTTTCTTGTAATTTACAATTATTTTCTTTTTCAAATTGTTCAGGAGGTTTTATTTTAAAGGTAATTTCATTTCCCTTTTGAATCATATTAAAGTATTTTTCAGTTTTTGTTCCTTTACGAAGAAGATAATCTGGAATTGGTCCTAACATATCAATAATCTTAGCAAGTTGATTATACTCATTTTCCCCTGGAAACAATGGAATTCCAAGGAAAAGTTCTGCTGCAACACAACCAAATGACCACATATCTATTGCACATGAATAAGGTAATCCTAAAATAATTTCTATTGCACGATAATGTCTTGATTGTATATATGTGTATAATGTAGATCTTTCAAAACAAGCTGAACCAAAATCAATCAATTTAATGTCACTTGTATTTTGAACTAATAATACATTTTCTGTTTTAACGTCACAATGTATGATATTCATTGTAGTTAACCCATGAAGTGATTCTAATAATTGTCTTAAAACATGTCTATTAAATGTTAATCCCATTCCATTATTTTTGTTACTTCTTAACATATCATATAAATTAATTGATAACAATTCTGTGACAATACAAACATGTCCATGAAACAGAAAATAATCTAACATTTTAACAGTATGATATTTATTGTCAGGATCAACTAAATCTCTTAAAACAGTTAATACAGCAATTTCAAGCATTCCTTGTCTAAAAAACACTGGTTTTGATTTAAGTATTTTAACTGCTACAAGACTATTATCTTGACAATTCCTACATTTTAAAACTTGCCCAAAAGTACCACTTCCAAGTGCAGAGATCACAACATACCTTGATTGTGGAATAAAACAACATGTCTCACCTCTACAAAAATAATAAGTTTCATTTAATTTATTTCCACAATTATCTTAGAAGTATTTCTAAACAAACTCTTTAGAAAAAGCAGAACCAATATTATCATCAACAGAAATAATTAGTTCATAATTTGCATTGTCTTTCCCACCATTATGAAATGGTTCTATCATTCGTGATAAAACTTTTTTACTTTTTTGTGTTATTTGTTGTATATTTTCATTCTTATATGTCAATGAAATATCTAATGTTAATGCATATATCGGTCTACGTCTTAATGAATTTCTTGGAGTAGTAACAAAGGGGTTGTAAGGGTGTTCAGGTTTCATAGAATTATATTGGCAGTTATAACAGGGTTTTTCTAAATAATTTTAACATTTTCAAAGGTCTTTACTTTCTATTTGACGTCTGATTATTTTAAAGTGTTTTTTGTTGTTTCTAATTCTACATTTTTGTTATCTAATTATTTTATTCTTTTGTTATTTAATATTCTTTTGCCGAAATCTTGTTAATCGTAAAATTTGAATGAAACAACAAAATTAATATTAACGTCATCCAAAACAACTTCTATAATAAATTTAATTCAACTTAAACAAAGAAAATAAATTACATTAGTATTAAACTTAGCTTTACTATCTATTTAATTAATTAGTTGTAAGAACTGGAGATAGCATTTGAACCCAATATTGTAATGTTGATGGAGTTAAATCTTTGTATTGATCTGGATGTTGTTCAATTAATACACGAACTGCTTTTGTTAAACCTAATTCATAAAACTTTTTTACAGCATTCATTTTAATAGCCTGACACCATCTTTTCTTTCTTTGAACTCTTTTTCTTGGATTCTTTCCATCAAACACTTCAAAACTTGTTGGAGATGCTGGCTCAAAAACTGAAAGATATGACCGTCTCATTTAAGTTATAAAGAATAGTTGAAGATCCTTTAAATACCCTTCGATTAGATAATCCTTTCTTTTTTCCGTCCCTTTCTCTTCCTTCACAACAATAAGACAAATAGAACTTTCTGTTCACTCGAAACACACATATGTTTCTTCTTTTTCAACTCGTTGTCAATTTTTCAATTTTTTTTTTAGAATAAATAAAAATTATTAACTACTTACTAATCATTACTAGAATTTCCCGTTTTTTCATACATTACTCTTTGATTATGAAGTTTGTTGTATAACTAGAAATTTAATTATTTACTGTTTCATTATTCTTTAAAATTATATTTATAATAAAATAAATTATTCTAGTACTATACTTAAAAAACTATTTTTATTAACCCAATACGATTTCAACTCAAATTCAAACTTTTTTAAATCATAAAACGAGGGTTTATAAAAAAAGAATCTGAAAAACAAAATAAAAAAAATTATTAAAAAACTTAAAAAATAAAACTAAAAATAAAAATAATGAAAAATAAAACTAAAAATAATGAAAAATAAAACTTAAAATAATGGAAAGAAAATTACGACCAGTTGCATTAGCTTATGTTTTATTTGAAGAAGGAGATATTATTGGACATTTTATGGGATATATTTCAATATTACATTTATTTGTAATTGGAGGGATTGTTAGTCTCATATTATTAACATTTGATAATTATGCTATTTACACTTTTGGAATTATGTTGACAAATGAAATAATTAATTACACGTTAAAAATACTTTTTAAACATCCTCGTCCTCATTTATCACAAAATGTGAACAAAGGTTTTCCATCTTCTCATGCACAATTTTGGTGTTGTTTTATTGTACTTTTTTATTATTATATAAATCAACAACCAAAACTTACTTCTATCTCAAAAAAAATTATTGTTTATTGTTCTACTTTATTAATTCTTCTTGTTGATTTCTCTCGTTGGTATTTAAATGATCATTTTGTTTATCAAATTGTTGCTGGTAATGTTATTGGAATTTGTGTAGGTTATCTTGGTATTATTTATTATCCTACATTTTTCCCTCTTCTCTCTCAATTTAAACTCTTTATAAAACAAAAATTAACCAATTTCAATTTGATAACTTCTAATCAGAAAGCTTAAATTCTTTCTCTTCAAACTAAAAAGTATTATTTCTTATTGGCTTTAATCTAAATTATTTTAAATTTGGTGTCATTATACTTAAACTCCCCCTTTGTTTTTTCATATCATATTTCATTTACTTTTGTGTTGACTTAATTTATAATTGTGTATAAGAATCACTCTTTTCAATATCTTTTTTAATAATTTTCTTTCCTTTACTGTTAAACTCAATTTTTTTTTAAGTTTTATTACCGTTTTAATGAAATTGTTTAAAAAATGACTTAAAGTAATGAAGAAGAATATTTTACGTTAAAATCAAAAGTCAACTCCTAAAATGATGAGTAAAAAATATATTCCTATTCAAATCATTTCTTAATTAACTGATAGAATATAATAACTCTTAAACTAAGAGAATGTAAATAACAAATTTTAGAAGATAAAAAGAAGACTTATTTTTCACTACTCATTTGTATTATTTAACTTTAAATGTTTATAAAAAATATATAAATAATTAAAAAAAAAGTAATGGATTGAATTACATCTTCAAGAAGATGACACTGAATGGTTCCATATGACAAGTACCAGAATATGATCTTCCAGAAATAAGATCTTGTCCACTTCCACATTGAGTATCGTATGTATATGTTCCCATATTGATCAAAACCTGAATTCTATTTGAACCAGATACTTTATCAACTTTGTAAAGAGTTCCTGATGCATTTTGATTTTCTCTTCTTCCTTGATATAATGCAGGATTAGATGCTCTAATGTTCATTAATTTTGCAGTGAAGTCATGAAGGGATTGTTCATTTGAATTAAATCCTTGAATATGTCCATCACTTCTAGCAGCATTATCATTATAAACTCCTCCACAATCTCCTGGGTTATAATAACATTCTACAAGATCTCCAACTTCATCTCCATAATAAATAGTAATTGGTCCAGTGTATGCAGCAAGGAATGCAATTGCAGCTCTATGTCTACCCCAATAATCATTATTATCTCTACCATATCCATATTTCTTTCTAATTAAATTACCAAATCTCAATAAATCATGATTAGTTATAAACATATTTGGATATGCAAAATCTGGATATCCTGCATTAAAAATACCATTTAAGTTTGATGCATCATACCCTCCTTTTCCTGATTCTTCACAAGCTAATGTTTGAACCAAATTATATCTGCCTGGGAAATGGAAACATGATCTAAGTCCATATCCACCAGAAGCATAATATCCCCATGTATTAATATTAGAAGCAGAATCCCAAATTTCTCCAACCATATATCCAAGAGTTCCCCATTGTTTTCCTTGATTCTTTCTGTTATCACATGTTGATTCAATGGTTTCTCTAATATCTTTCCAATAATTTCTATCTTGGTTTCTTGTAGAAACTTGATAAGCTTGGTCTAATCTCCATCCATCAATTTCATAATTATTAATCCAATAAGTAGCAACTTCTTTATAAAATTCTAATGATCCTGGATAACTGACTGGATCATTTCCTCCTGTTGGATATTTTCCACTTGGACTACCTGCAACATTTCCTGATTTATGATGTCCAAATACACCATCAAGAATAACATATAATCCAAGACTATGTGCTTTATTGATTAATTCATGAAGTTCATCATTTGTTCCAAATTTTGGATCTACATTAAAATAGTCATAAGCAAAATATCCAGTTGAATCTAATTGACTTCCACCATTTGAATTAAAGATAGGAGTCATCCATAATGCATTCATTCCTAAGTCTTTAATATATTGAAGAGAATTAATAATACCTCGTAAATCACCACAATGTTTTGATGGTCCATATCCTGTACAATATCCTCTACTTGAATCACCATCTTGGAATGAACTTACCATAACCTGATAAATTCTAAGGTTATTGAAAGCATTTGTATCAATTGCTTGAGTGAATACCACTAATAAAACAACTAAGAGTTGTAACATTTGACTGAAGTTATAAGTTTTTTCCGAGTTGAAATACCACCATACTTTTCAAGAAAATTTTTTCCTACTTTTCCATGTTGTTTTTTTATTAAAGTCAAACCTTTTTTTTTGAAATTTCTTTCTATCCTTTTTTCTGAAGTTTTTTAAAGTGATTTTTCTTAGCATTAACTAGTATATTAATAATATTAATTTACTATTTAATTTACTATTTTTTTCTTTGAAAAATCGTATGGTAGAAATTGAAAATATTCTTTTCATGATTTTTATTAAAATTTATGTTATTCTTTTTGTGTTATTTATGTCTATACTAACAATATTATCCAATTACAAAAATATTTTCCGTTAAAACTTTTCAATTTGAAGATATAAAAATATAAAACACAAGAAAATAAGTAAAATAAATAATTATAAACAATTATTGATTTATTTAAACTCATACATGACAAATAAAATATAGATATTAAAATTATTGAACTTATGTGAAATATTTATATCTAACAAACCCATTTTATTAATCTAATACATAAGCTTTTTTATTATAGTATGTTTATAAATTTTATTAAACCTAATTTCTTTTCAATTATAATACTACAAACATTGAAAAAATTATAAAAATAATACTATCACAAGAATATTAAAAAAATTTAAATCAAAATACATCACACAAAAAAAATTAAAATATATTGTATTTTTTAAATGATAAAATGAATTCATTTTTCATGGGAAAATACAACATAATAATCAATCTAGGAGATTCTGACGAGATTGTTAACACTATTCTATTACCAATCCGCTTTATCACTCCATTGTATATTAAATCTTTTAATTTTCTTTAAATATGTTTAGGTCTTGTTTAAGGGTTTATAACATAAAATATAATAAATTTAATTATTACTTTAACTAAACATTAGATTAATAAAATATCCTTCATTTTTCCATTGTAATTAGATGAAAAGGATTTGAAACAACTCCACGAGTACGTCGTTTACCATGAGCAAGATCAGCCAACGTTTCTTTTTTTATAACCACTGGTTTTGGCTTATTTGTGTTGGAGAATATAGGACCTAATTCTTGAGCAGAACGATTAATAATTTGATCAATTAAATAATAACCATCTTGAAAGTTAAGGTCAATTTGACTAGTGATATAATGAATACTTGCTGGAATTTGACTATATTTATTAACTAAGGAATGTGTGAAATATTCATTTAAAGTTATATTACCAATTTCATTCAATATTTCCCTTACATTATTAAGCAATAACACAATAGAATTGAGGTATGTTTGTGGTAATGGGTCACACCCCTCTTTAAAGTTGAGAGCAAACAATAGCCGTAGATGTATTTGAA